TGTGAATGAAATCTTGATAAGTGCATTTGTTCTTGAACTGAGGAGATAAAAGAGACATTTTGCCAATGGAACAAGACAATTTAGATTTAAAATAAGAAAACACAATTGCATTGTCTTATTTCAAGTCAATATTATCTAATCATCTTATTTTAAGAGTAAAAATCCTGATTCCATTGGCAAACTATCTCATTTACCGACTCAAATCAAGGTTAAATACACTTAATTTAAGAAAGTTTTACTTATTGCTAGATCGTTTTTGCAGTGCGTTTGTCTCTGTGTTGCCCTGAGATGAACTGACCTGTCTAGGATGGACCCCGCCTGACAGAAGATGGATGGATGGTTAAAATATTTTTAAAATACACTAGATTGTACATATTTTGATATTACTTGATGTGTTTTTGTTTTATTTTGTAACGTGCTTCGAGATGACTCTCAGTGTAGATCTGTGTGCTACACACAAACTGAAACCAGATATCAAAGTTTTTCTACAGACTGCGCAGCAACCAGAGACCTGTTTGAACTTATAAATCTCTCCCTGTAGCGCAGCCACCTCACCAGCAGAGCTCTAAAGTCCTCCTAATGAGTTTTTCAAACCTCAGGCTCAACTCAATATCTGGTGTTATTGATGGACGGCCAGACACAGAAAGAGGAGTTTGGACTTTGAACGGTTTGACCCCTTCAGCTGTGAGAGCTGATCTACAGGTGCACGGGAGGGACATTTAAAAATGTTTTGGAAATAAAACCCTTTGACATTTGTTTCTTTTTTAAAACCCATTTTGAACTACACTGGAAAAAAGATAATTTTTTCTTAAAATAACCACATTTGTTCTTGAATCGAGGATGTTAGAGAGACATTGAAGAAGACTTTACATTTAACACAATTGCATTATTTTATTTCATGTGCATATTATGTAATTATCTTATTTTAAGAGTAAAAATACTCATTCCATTGGCAAATTATCTGATTTATAAATAAATACACTTGATTTAAGACATTTTTTACCTATTTCTAGATCGTTTTTCCAGTGTAAAAGTCACATTTTTAAATAAATATTCAAGAAATTGACATATTTCAGGATTTCTTTTAATTTTATCATTTTATAGTATATATATATATTTTTTTATTAATCTTTTGTTAAATAAATAATGTATTTCATTGAAAAAAGTCATTTTTAAGTTAATAATTTCATTTTGATTATTAAATGGGTCATTTTATTGTAATTTTATAATTTCATGTAACACTTAAATCACGCTTTAGATGAATGAATGAATTCATGATATGAAATGTTATAATGTAAATGTTTATCTTAACATCACATTTTAATTACATAATGGGATATTCAACTATTTCTTAAAGAGAATTTATTAATTTGATTTCAAATGTATTTTTAATCATTTAAATTGACTTAAAATATTCAAATATTCATTTTTTTTAAATAATTTTAGAACATATTTAATACTTGTTACATAAATAAATAAGTTTACATTTTTATTTTTTAAATTTTGAATTTAAAAAGCATTTTTAATTAATTAATTGATACGACATTTAATTATCTAATCGTGCATTTCACACTTTTGATATATGATTGGCCGACTTTAGGAGTTCAGGCTGACGTAGAACTAACTGGCCTGCAGAAGATAACGGAAAAAAACAGATTTTAAGACAGGATTTTTTTTAAATAGAAATTTTCTAAATTTTGGGACAATATAGTCTGATAAAGACGACATTTATATGCATGTTTAAGCCAGAATGATTTAACATTTAAACATGGCTTCCCTACGACTTTAAAGCCTTTGTTCCACAGTGCATCTTTTAAATATAATCCAGCTTTTTGAATGAAAGCTTCTCATCCCCGCGTTGCCTCTCAGACTGCCGCATTGCTCCATTCAGGATGATTCTTGCTTTCAAATTTGAGAAAAGAAGCTGTAAAAACCTTGGCAGAAGCGAATCCCCTGCTGTGTGAGCGAAGGAGCTGAACCCCCACCTTTAATATCCCAGCTCCTCCTGCATGAGGAGGGTTACTGGAGCGGCGGGGTGTTGTTCGGCTCTCTGGATAACCTCCGGTACGGACAGGTTGCAGTGGCGCTGTGTTTGAGGCTCTTTTTCTTTATGCACCTTTCTGCTTTAGAAGTCCTCTGATTTCGCTGCTTGCTGCCTTGACCTTTGCTTCCAGCCTCTAGTCACTTCTGGCTTTCAGAAGGGTACATATCAAATGAAAAGATATTTTTATGACATAAAAAAAAAATGACTTTGACCACATACATTCTGTACACTTTAAGCAAGATTGGAGAAAAACATGTTGCAAATCCAGGCTCTAGGCTCAGGTTTAAACCTGCTTTGTATAATGTTCATCTTAGCAGCATATTACCTTTAATGAGGGCGAACTGATCAATATATTTAAGTTTATGGCATAAATTTTATAAAACCACATAAGATCATTTGTTTTATTTGATTATTAGAGACATGGGCGGTCCTAGACAGGGGCCAGCGGGGGCCAGTGCCCCTGTTACGGCCCCTGTACCGAATACAAAATACTAAAAGTAATTCTAAGGATGATCTGCGCTGGAACAGACATGGTTCCTTTGGGTGTATTTCATTTATTTTCTTTACAAATTCAGTTTTACTAATTATTTAACATAAAATGTGAAAGCCTCAGTGGTATTGAGGATCCCATTTTTTTCCAAAAAAAATTCAAAAAAGTACTCGTAATTTTTACAGGTGAATTTATAAGTTTTTTCTTGAGTTCTAATTCTGATTTTATAAAAAAAAATCTTAATTTTTAATTAAATTAATTTAAAAACATGTAAAATTCCAAAATTATTTATGTATATTGAGCTAATATTCCAAATTATAGCTTTATTTTATCTTTTAGATATTTATATAGCTATAACTTTTTTTTTTTAGCTGCTTATTGCTATGCTAAGGGATTTTTATTTTGAATTTAACAATAATCACAATGACCTCTGACCCCTCCATGAAAAGGTCTGAGCCTCTAGTTTCCAATGATGGCAGCCATTAGGGGGCGGGGCTAAAAATTAATACCTGCTGTTGCATTACTCCCACAGAATCTCACGTGTCAGGTGGAATTTTAAATCTCATTTTGTTTACACAGCTATAAAACAAAAATAACTTTATAATTTTTAAACATATTTAAGAAATTTTAAAGCCCCATTTGAAAGGCGTGTGGATGAAACACCATGCGACTGCGTTTTGGTCAGATGGGGCCTGATGGGCTTAAGGGATTAAAGCTGAAAATCCTGCATAAAACTTCCAGAACTGATATAAAGTCGCTGATTATTCCAGAAACGGCTCAAAGGTTTTGGAGAATTTTGAAGGTTGATGGTTTTTGTTAAAGTGGTAGGGAAGTGGTACTGAAATGTCAAATCATTCTGGCTTAAACATGTATATAAATGTACTATTTATCGGACAATATTGCCTCAAAATTTAGAAAATTTCTATTTAAAAAAAAAAATCCTGTCTTATAATCCGTGTTTTTTTTTCCATTATCTTCTGCAGGCCAGTTAGTTCTACGTCAGCCTGAACTCCTAAATTCGGCCAATCATATATCAGCGGTCATCTGTCAATCAAATTTTTTCAGTCATAGCATCTTGATTCATGTGTCGCAGCTAATATACGCAACGGTTGAAACCAGAATCCTTTCCTTTCCCATTGAGTTGCGTCCCAGTGTTCACGGGGATGGACGTCTGTGTCTTCGGCAGGCGTAGAGCTAACAGAACCGGCAGCGTTGCGAGGCAAGGGCTCAAACATGTACGGCTGGAAGCCTTCTACACCAAACCAAGCTTCTGCCGCCCTGGCGTCCTCTTCCACAACATCTTCATCCCCGCTTTCCTCCTCTAAATAAAAAATGGATGACGGAGGAGACTCATCCACGACCTCCGACACTAAACTCTCCTCCTCTTGCATGTTTCCTCTGTCCATAGCGTTCCTTGACAGTGTCGTTTCTAAGTCACCAATTTAGTGCTACTTGGTCCCAATGGAATTTCCCATTGGGAACCTGCTAGCACTAAGTTGCTAACTGGTTAGCAAGATGCTACCGAGAAACCAGCTACGACCAAACTGGCAGGCTAAAAAGGTAGATGATGGCTAAGAGGCTGGTGTCAAACCTGGCATTCTGGAGATAGACAGAATGATGGAAGGTAGCAGAACTAAATAAATAGGAAGTTACATGCGCGTTCACGACGCTACGGAAACCGCGGCAGACCAAACCAGATGAAAGTGCGCATTCAGCTCGGCAAAGAACTCATGCTCTTCCTCAACACTGAAGTCCTCAGACATTTTTCTTTCGTTGTTTCTTTCTTTGCACAGGTAAACAGCACATTTCTTCTTCTACGCTTGCATTATCGGCAGAGCAGACGCTGAATGCGCACTTTCATCTGGTTTGGTCTGCCGGCTTCCATAGCGTCGTGAACGCGCTTTCAGGAAATCCTATACACTACTGTTTATGCTCTAAAAACATTCTAAATGACTTCGTTTCGAGTAAATTATGGACGCTACCCACTCAGGACACTTGAAATACATTGGACGAGCAGTATGGAGGAATATTGACACGTTTTTTGTGGACTTTTATGGACCTTTCTGCCTCGGGCGCCATAGACCTCCATTATTTGAATGTCAGCAGACAGCAAGAAGCCTCCCAGATCTCCAGATGCATTTGAGATATCAAAAAAGTACTCCAGAGTGTTGTTCAGCATGGGGGTGAGTAGAAAATGAAGGCTAATCATGTTTTGGGTGTACTATTCCTTTAACTGAAGCAGTTTTTAATTTGGCGGACATGCATTTATTTAGGGGGTGAAATGTTTAAAGTTGTTTTAATTCACAATACTGTATAACAGTGTTTTTTGCATTGTTAATGTAATAAAAGTGGCTGTTCTGCAGATAATGGAAAGCACCATCAGGGTGACGAGGACGATGATCTGCTGAATCGAATCCAAGAGAGAAGAATAAAGTCTGAATAAAAACACAAACTTTAATGTTTTTGTAAAAATATTTATGTTCACCAGCTGAAATGCAAAAACAAACACAAAGAGCAACTAAGAATACAAAATAAAATAAGACAAAGACCAGGGTGTGTCCTTCCAGCTCTCTGTAAACAGTGGAAATGAAGCTGCTGCGTGAATGGCTGTTGTTCCCCTGATAGAAGTCTGTACCTAACATCGAAATTTAAACATTCTTCATAGAGTAAAAAATAAATGACAATAAAAAAAAAAATAAACGATAAAAATGAACTAAAACCATGACAGGGAGGAGGGGGGGAGTGGTGTTAACCTTACAGGATTTCACAGCAATCCGGACACACCGCAGGTACTTCAAGAGTTCTTTGGCACAAAACACAAATCGTTCAACATGACATGAAACAAAGTGTAAACAAAGCAACACTCCTTACAAAATGCACTTTTATAAATGGGCAGCATTAACAGATTAAAAAACTGAAATCAGTAAAACTAAAACTGATTTGGTAAAATATGCCGCCAACATGTTTCAGTCTGCAAGGCCTCCGCACAACGCAGCGTCGTCGTCATGGCAATGTAAGCGCGCGGGGGATGGGGGCAGAAGGGAGGGGGTGAGGTTTTATACGTGGTGCGAGTCCTGTTGGTCAATCCGTCGTCTTCTGCTGCGTGCGACAGCTCCCCGTTCACCAGCTAAAGTCTCTTTAGTGCAAATAGGCTGTCAGCTGCGACCCTCCTTCACAGGGAGGGTGGGGGGGGGTGAAGAGGAGGTCATTTTCGTGGGGGAGGACGGGAGGCGGTGTTGGGTCTGGCACCAGGGATCGGTCTAGAAGAAGACAAGAGGACAAGAGGTCCCAGCATCAGACCTTCTGATTCCTACACAATAAATAAAACTGCAAATATTTTCTATTTCTTTTCATCTTAAGATTTCTCCCCCAGCAAACCGACGTCCAGCAAACTCCAACAACTCTCCCTTTTTATCTGAGCCACAGAGATAAATCACTTTTTTCCCTCTTCTCAGTTGGGGCTCATTATGAGACTTATTCTTTACTTGCTAAGGAATACATTTTTCTAACAAAAAAATGCCTTAAAAAATAAAAAAAGACAAGATTTCATGAAAAAAAAAGACTTTTGCAAGACTTGTTGGAATAAATGGCCAAATAATTCACACCTTTGGCAGATAAAGTTCTCTTTCAAAGGAAAAGTCATTATTTATACCTAAAACTAATATGCTTGCAGTGATTTAATGAATTAAGCGTTAATCAGTAAAATTTCCCAGTCTGGGAGCGGCCATTTTTGCCCAAATATAGTAGCCCCTCCCTCCTGCCATCTTCCAGCAGTGACGTCACGGTGCGGTTAGCCTAGCGCCATTCTCCCCGCTTTACAAGCAATTCAGTTGGATGTTGGAATACATCGGGTAAAAGTGGAAAAAAATAAAATATATTTCCAGTGGCGGCTGGTGGAGTTTTTTCCTATAAATTAAAAAATAGTTGTATACCAAAAACCAATCAAACGTATACCAAGCTATCACACTAGTATTTTTATATGAATGCCAACAACAAAAACATTGTAAAAACAAAACGTTTTTAACATAAATCTTGTCCTTCTGTGGCTGTGAAGGTAAATCTGTGTTTTCCATGGTCTACTATTGCGTCACAAACCAAAAAAATTAATGCACCAGTTTAATAATGGAGAAGCTATTAGTCAGCTTTATTTTTTTAATATATAAAAACTATTTATTTTCTGAGAATGTGTTTATTTAAGAGCAACTATGCAAATGAACAAACATCTAGAAAAAATAGACTATATTCTAATATTTTCCATGTGAATCCCAGATTGTTCATTCTTCTTTGCCTTTTCTAAAAAGTTCTTTAGATCAGTCCTAGCTGTCTTTATCCATGCTGGATCAGATCCTGATGTTTGAAAAAGGAGACAGGAAAGCAGGACAAAGCCTTAGCCTCGCTGCAGGCAGTTAGCCTCGCCACATACAGTTAGCCTCGCTGCATGCAGTTAGCCTCGCCACATACAGTTAGCCTCGCTGCATGCAGTTAGCCTCGCCACATACAGTTAGCCTCGCTGCATGCAGTTAGCCTTGATGCATACAGTTAGCCTCGCTGCATGCAGTTAGCCTTGATGCATACAGTTAGCCTCGCTGCATACAGTTAGCCTCGCTGCATGCAGTTAGCCTCGCCGCATAAAGTTAGCCTTGCCGCATAAAGTTAGCCTTGCCGCATGCAGTTAGCCTCACCGCATACAGTTAGCCTCACCGCATGCAGTTAGCCTCACTGCATACAGTTAGCCTTACCGCATGCAGTTAGCCTTGCCGCATGCAGTTAGCCCTCGCTGCATGCAGTTAGCCTCGCTGCATACAGTTAGCCTCGCTGCATGCAGTTAGCCTTGCTGCATACAGTTAGCCTTGCGGCATACAGTTAGCCTCACCACATGCATTTAGCCTCGCTGCATGCAGTTAGCCTTGCTGCATACAGTTAGCCTCGCTGCATGCAGTTAGCCTCGCTGCATGCAGTTAGCCTCGCTGCATACAGTTAGCCTTGCTGCATGCAGTTAGCCTCGATGCATGCAGTTAGCCTCGCTGCATGCAGTTAGCCTCGCCGCATGCAGTTAGCCTTGCTGCATACAGTTAGCCTCGCTGCATGCAGTTAGCCTTGCTGCATGCTGTTAGCCTCGCCGCATACAGTTAGCCTCGCCGCATGCAGTTAGCCTCGCTGCATGCAGTTAGCCTCGCCGCATGCAGTTAGCCTTGCTGCATACAGTTAGCCTGGCTGCATGCAGTTAGCCTTGCTGCATGCTGTTAGCCTCGCCGCATACAGTTAGCCTCGCCGCATGCAGTTAGCCTTGCTGCATACAGTTAGCCTCGCTGCATGCATTTAGCCTCGCTGCATGCAGTTAGCCTCGCTGCATGCAGTTAGCCTCGCTGCATATAGTTAGCCTCGCTGCACTCAGTTAGCCTCGCTGCATGCAGTTAGCCTTGCTGCATACAGTTAGCCTAGCTGCATACAGTTAGCCTTGCTGCATGCAGTTAGTCTAGCATTTGAGCTAAACCAGGTCCTGGAAAAGATGTCTTCCTGCTCCATTTCTCTCTCTTTCTCCAATGCTTCTCCAACTCCCGCAACTCGACCTGTCAATCACCCGCAAAACGTCTGCACTGTGGCGGGAGGTGGTGAGCAAATACACTTCCCGAGCAGCAAACCTTTGTATTGCAGAGGAGCTACTGCGCATGGACAACTTCTAACCAGAGTCAATGGGCAAACATCTTTTCGCCCTAGGGCGGAAATACGTCACCAATCAGACGTAAAATTGAATGACGCTTTACTATTCATTAGAGATTAGATATGTATCTTCCATATCTAAGAAATAGATATTAATTTATTTTGAAATATTTTAAATGGTAATTTAAAATTAAATGATAAAAAAAAATATATATATATATATTTTTTGTCTTAATCAGGGTCATTGGGTGGGTGGGGCAGTGTGATAGCGCCCTCTATAGGTCAGCCGCCACTGGTTATTCCACCTTTCTGATTCCTGATCCTCCACGGACGGGTTGGTCGTTGGATCGCCAACTTGAAGAGGGAGGATTTGCCATCGAACTTCTGGCCAGAGAAAAAACCCGTAATATGTAGCCAACATTTGGAAGAAGAATGTTTTCAAGATGACTTGGATAAAAGCGTTGTGACAAACACCAGATACAGCACTGGGACTTGATCAACAGCCGATACCGCACCGTGACAATGTCACTAACCAGTAGGTGGCAGTGGTGTTCTCTGACAAACATGGATGCCTCCAGTAAAGCACATTCACATGGAAATTACTCTGAATTAAAAACACTGATCATTTATTGAACAGGATGGAATCATATCAGATTTAAAGAACTTTCAGAAGTTTGAATTCTGAATATGAGCGACTTTTCCTTTAATTCGATTAATTTATTTTCCCCTGAATGGAAATAAAATGAACATTTTGCAAAAGTCGTGGATGAAATCAAGAGAAAACAAACAAAAAAAAATGTGAAAACGTGAAAATCTGCAGGAGGAAGAGTCTTTTTAAGGCTGTCGGCTGCAGAGCTTAGAGGAAGTCTGCTGCTTCTATCTAACCTCCTTCACAATATATTGTTTGAGCAGCACAGCCCTGCTGACTGCTCTGAGTTTGCACAGTGGGATTATTCTGGAGAAAATCCAGAAAGGCTTTCTTACTCTAAGTCTGCCTCTAAGGGTCAAGTGTAAAGTTTTTATTTTCTTATATCATCCTGAACTGATGCCAACTTTTCGGCCATTGCCAATTAATTAGGACTTATAGCAAAAATGTCTTTTAACTACAACATATGTACTAGGGCTGAAATAATTGATCAGATTAATCAATTATTAAAATGAATATATTTATTTTCTTATAATTATATTTATTTACTTATATTGAAATTGTTAAAAAAACTAGAAACATTTTGTATTTTAAATTTAAAAAAAAATTCCGTCTGTCAATATGCTCTATCAAGAGCTCCTCAAGTGGAAAACCTTTAGTTTCACCTGGTTTAATTTAGTAAAAATCTTCTTTAAGGAACCTTTGGCTTAAAAATAATAAAAAATTTATCAATTTGCAATATAATTTGTTAGTTAGAGCTCAATATGTAACCCTTATTAGGAATTTTATACATGGCCTGAATGAACGCAGCAGAAGCAGCAAAAATGTGCTTGCTGCTTCATTTTTGATGCTTGTACTAGTTTAGTTCTGATGCGCAGCTGAAGCATCTTTGCTGCTCTGGCTGCGCAGTCGAAAAGTTTTTCAGGTCTGTGCTACATTTTTATTATATTTCTATCCTGCTTTGTAATCCAGGGCTGAATCATCAGCAGCTTTGTTGAAACATCAGCTTTGGGGGAACGGAGCAGATCTCCTCTCTGCTCTGACTGCATAAGGGCCTTACAGGACGAGTAGCTGCCTGTGAGACAGTGCTGAGGGACGCAGGAGGAGACTCACAGCAGCTCTGATGCTCTCAGTAATGCTGCTTCATATAAACTCGCCAAACTTGCCAAAAACACAGAAAAGGCCACTTCTTTTATCTCTATAGTTGCCTTTTAAAAAACAACAACAATCTGTTAAAGGGTCTGAAAATTCCTCTCATATATGTTGGTAACATTGAAGCTAGCAGTTAGCTTCATATATTAGCCAGAGACATAGAAGTTGTTGGTTTTTCAAAATAAAATCAGTTTTAATATTTCATGATATTCAAACTCCGATTAGAATCGGTCTCCACCAGTCACGTGACATTTGTTGCTAAGGCGCCATTTTAGGTGGAAAAGGCGTAGTGTAAACAACTGCAGCATAGCTAAACGAAGGACTAAAGGCCCGTTTACATAGCAGCCTGTCCAAGATAAGTCATTACAGTTAACATAAGCCTGAAAACAGGGGCGGATTTAGGAAAATCGGTCTCCGCCAGTCACGTGACATTTGTTGCTAAGACGCCATTTTAGGTGGAAAAGGTGTAGTGTACCGCGCCCGAGGTAAACAATTGACGTCACTTGGCGGAGACCGATAAATGTACAAATATTCAGAATGCTGAATCCTATGCTTTAAATAGTTTTAACAGATTAATTTCACTCATGCTGAGGGTGTGGCAGCTTTTATTTTGAAGTAGCAGTGCGCGATGATTAACTACCGTATTTTCCGGACTATAAGCCGCTATTTTTTTCCCACACTTTGTACCATGCGGTTTATAAGAAGCTGCAGCTTTTCTGCGGATGTTTCCTAACTGCCAGAGGAGGAAGTCAAAGTTAGAAATGAAAGAATAAGGGGCTAATTTTTATTTAGCACCAGAAC